CTGCTAACTTGGCAGACATTTTAAAGATTATAAAAGAATACTATGAACTATTGCACACCAACAAATTAGATAAACTAGACGAAACGAATGAATTCCTAGAAACATAAATTGCCGAAAACTGACTCACCACAGCACGTTGTACTGCAAGTTCTAGTGATGGCAATTAGGCAAGAAAAGAAAAGAAAAAGCATTCGATGGGAAAGGAAGAAGTAAAATCATCCCTAGTCACATATGAATGTATTTATAGAAAAATCTCATAACCTATAAAAAAACTCCACTAGAGTTAATTAACAAGTTCAGCAAAGTTGTAGATTTCACGCTCAACAAATAAGCATTAGTTGAATTTCTACATATCAGCAATCAACAATTCCACAAGGAAATTAAGAAAATAATTCCATTTACGATAGCATCAAAAATGATAAAACATCCAAAAATGATAAAATATCTAGTAACAAATTTAACCAAAGAGTTGAAAGACTTATGCACTAAAACTACAAAACACTGCTGAAAGAAATGGCAGAATATGTGAAAAAAGGGGAAGACAGGCCATGTTCGTGGGTTGAAAACTTTAAATTAGTGAGATGGCATTGTTACTCAAAGCTATTTACAGTTTCAATGCGATTCCTATCCTAATTCCAATGACCTTTTTCTAGAAATAGAAAAGCCAATCTGAAATTCATGTGAAATTGCAAGGGGCTCTGAATAGCCAAAACAATCTTTTTAAAAATTATCAGAGGGTGGTGTGTGTACTTGTCACAGAGACAGAGAGACACGAAGAAAGAAGTAGAGGAAGAAAGCACCCCCCATGGGGTGTGGTCACACTGTGACCCCTTCTCCGCTATTCCTCCATCCTGTCAGGATTTTAGGCATGTATGTGCATGTGCCCGCCATGTTTTTCAAGTTGCTGGGGACAGGATTCAAACCACAATTGGCCATGTGGGACTGGTTTTCTTAACCATTAGGTTATGGGGATGGCCCAAGCCAAGCAAACTTTAAGAACAAAGAATAAGAATGATGGAGTATTCGCATTCACTGGTTTGAAAACTTACTATAAATCTATAGCAGTCAGAACGATGTGGTACTGGCACAAGGGTAGACTTAGAAATCAGTGAGACAGAATTAAGAGTCCAGGAATAAGATGCATATATTGTGAGTTGATTTTCAACAAGGGTGCCAAGACCATTGAATGGGGACAGGATAGATAGCTCTTCAAGAAATGGTGCTGGTATAACAAGGTATCCACAGACAAAACAGTGAAGTGGGGCCTCCTCCTCACATCACATACACAAACTCACTCACTCGCTCACTTTATATCATGTAAGGTCCACTTCAATGAAAAAAATTGCGTCTTCCAAACACGTGTCTGTTTTTTTGCATCTATAGCTATATAGATATATATCAGAATATCTATCATCTATCTACCTACCTATCATCTATGTATTTTCATCTATATATCATCTATCTATCTCTATGTATCTATCTCTATGTATCTATCATCTATCATCTATCATCTATCATCTATCATCTATCTATCTATCATCTATCTATCTACATACATATATCAGAATTTCTTTATCCGTTCATCAGTTGTTTGGCACTTTGGTTAATTCCACTCTTAGCTACTGTGAAGAGTGCTGAAATGAACGCAGTAGCACGGGTATCTCTTCAATATATTAGTTTTCTTCCCTTTGGGTGTACACAGTGGTGGAATTATTGGATCGTAAGGTAGTTCTGTTTCTAGTTTTTTTTTTTTTCGAGAGGTTTTTTGCTATAGGGCGCGTGCATTAACCAGAAAGACAGAGAGACAGAGAGACAGAAAGCGAGAAATCACCCCCCCCCTCCCAGGGGGGATGGCCATGCCACAATCCCTTCTCCTCCGTTCTCCTCTCAGGATCTTGGGCACGCACACACACATGCCCAGCGTGAGTTTAAGCCATCAGGTCTGGGACTCGAACTGCGGTTGACTACATGGGAGTTCAGCGACATAGCCATTATGCTAACTGCTGCTCCCATGTTTCTAGTTTTTTGAGGAACTGCCATACTGTCTTCCCTAATGGTCGTACTAGTCTAGATTGCCATCACAGTGCGGGATTGCCCTTCCTCCCCAGGCTCACCAGCATCTGTTACGTACTTATTTATTACTATAGCTATTCTACTGAGGTGGGGCGATACCTCATTGTGGTTTTGACTTGCTCATCCCTGATGATTAATGACATTAAAAACATTTCATCGGCCATTTGTATGTCTTCTTTCAAGAACTGTCTGTTCAGATCAGTTGTCTGTATTTATAGGGATTGTTTGTTTTTTCACTATTTTTGTTTTTGAGCCATTTGCGTTTCTTATATAATCTGGATATTAACCTCTTAATATCCAGAGATATTGGATGTATGATTTGCACATATTTTCTTTCAGCCTGTAGGTTGTCTGTGTATTTATTTTTTTCTCTTTGCAGTGCAGAAGTTTTGTCTGATATAATTTCATTTGTCTATTTTGGTGGTATTGCCTGTATTTTTGAGGTCTTATTTTAAAAATTCTTTGCTTACACCAATGTACTAATGTCTGGAATCATTTTCCCTGTGCTTTTTCCCAGTAACTTCATGGCTTTTGGTTTTATGTTTAAGTTGTTAATCTATTTCAGTTAATTTTTGTATATGGTGAGAGGCAGGGACCAGGTCTCATTTTTCTGTATGTGGATGTTCAATTTTCCCAGCACTATGAATTGGAGACTTTGTCTTTTCACCTGAATTATCTTGCGAGCTTGGCCCAGAATCACTTGGCTGTCTTTGTGGGTTCTCTTTGCTCTTCCATTGGTCTCTAGGTCTGTTTTGCATCACTACCATGGTTACATGGTAACATGTAGTCATATAGTTATGCGTAATTTTGTTACCATGGTTTGAAGTTAATAGTACGATGCTTCTGACTTGTTCTTTTTCATAGAACTGCCTTGGCTATTCAGTCTTTGTGTTTTCAAATTTTATGGTTGCTTCTTTTTCTGTGAAGAATGTCATTGGCATTTTCATAAGAATTGCATCGAATTTATAGGTCACTCTGAGTATCATCAACATTTTAACAATATTGATTCTTCCAACTCATGAACTTGGGATATCTTTCCTTTTTTGTTTAACTTCTTAAATTTCATTCATCAGTGTTTGATAGTTTTTATTGTAGAGATCTTTCAACTCCTTGGTTAAGTTTATTTCCGGGTATTTTATTTATTTATTATTATTATTATTTTTTGTGGTTATTGTATATGGGATTGCTTTCTTGATTTCTTTTTCAGTTTGTTATCGATGGACAAGAGCACTATGGATTTTTATATGCTGTTTTTGTACCCTGCAACTTTACTGAATTCATTCATTAGGTTTAAGAGTGTTCTCTTAAGTTTTTATGTGTATGTGATTATGATACTTGCAAACAGGGGCAATTTAACTTCTCCCTTTCCAAACCAAATGCCTTTTTAAAAAAATTATGTTACTTAGTTGATTGGTTAGGCTTGCCAGTACAACATCCTGATGAATTCAATACCGTTATTGTACCAAACTGTCCAAGGAGAAACCGAGCATTAAGAAGGAACTAGGTGACGCAGGGGATAGGGCGCCGCTGCATGAGTGGGACCGCGCGGGAGGCCAGGTTTAGGTTCCTGGTCAGCCTGAATGTGCTGGCGCTCGCGAGAGGCCAGGTTTAGGTTCCTGGTCGGCCTGAAAGTGCTGACACTCCCACAGGTGGCTGCATTCTGGCTGCTGGGAGGCTGAGGGGATTGGGGTATGTCGAGACTCTGTTAGAGGTACCTAGCTCTCTCTCTCTTTCAAAATAAGTAAACTGAAAAGAAGAGGTTAAGTAACTTTCCATAAGTTGACTCAGTGCACAGACCCAACCCAGGCAGGCTGGCTCTACCGTCTGCTCTGAAGTGCTGCACCAAGAATTTCAGACAGCGAGCATGGATGTGAAGGCCAGGGGATAGAAAAGAGCTGGTTAAAACATAATGTACATATTTTTATATTTGGAAATGAGCTGTCTAAAGCTATCAAAATATTCAAAGAACAATGAAAGAACATCTGTGTACCTATGCACAACTTTTTTTTTTTTTTTTTTGGCTAGAGGATGTCTGTACTCATGAGAGACAGAAAGAGAGAAATCCCCTTTTTCCACTGTCCCCCATTGTCACGCTGTAATCCCTCTTCCTCCATTTCTCCATCCCATGAGGAATTTGGGCTTGCACACACACATGAGCAGTGTGTTTTTCAAGCCACGGGACTGGGATTCCAGCCAGGGTCACCCATGTGCCATCCAGTTGCCTGTACTGCACTTAGTCCTGCAGGGTAGCTGGGCCTTGCAGTATTCACTGTTTTTTTTTTTTTTTTTTTTTTTTTTGAGAGATTTTCACTGTAGGGCGCGTGCACTTGCCAGACAGACAGAGAGAGACATAGAGACAGAAAGCGAGAAATCACCCCCCAGGGGGGATGGTCACGCCGCAATCCCTTCTCCTCCATTCTCCTCTCGGGATCTTGGGCACGCACGCACACGCGCCCGGCGTGAATTTTAAGCCACCGGGTCCGGGACACGAACCGCGGTCGACTATGTGGGAGTCCAGCGACATAGCCATTACGCTAACTGCTGGTACCCAGTATTCACTGTTTTTAAGAAGTAAAAAGTTAGAGCTACAGCCAGAATTCCTGCAGGTACTCTCCTGGAAACCCTATTAATTGGCGTAATGGTTATGTCGCTGGACTTCCACGTATCGACTGCAGTTCGAGTCCCAGACCCAGCGGCTTAAACTCATGCTGAGTGTGTGTGCGTGTGTGCTCAAAATCCCAAGAGGAGAATGGAGGGATGGGATTGCAGCATGGCCGTCCCTCCTGGGGAGTGATGTCTCACTTTCTGTCTCTGTCTCTCTGGCGAGTGCAGAAAAAAAACCCTAATTATTTTTCTCTCTTTTTTCCCCTCCCCAGTGTTGACGCTGTTCTAAATAGTGTTTATCATTCTTATGCATGATTTATTTTACTATATATGTAACTGTAACCTTGTTTTATGTGCTTTAAAAGAAAAACAAGATATACTGCTTGTATTATCTGAAACTTACATAATGATTTAAAATTTTATTCCACCAACATAATTGCCCTTTTTGGGCAAATTCATAAAGTAGGAGTACTGGAGTACTAGACAAAGAATATGTTCATTTTAAGTTTTATGCATAGTAGATAATCCCGCTGATCAGACTGTTGTTGGAGTAATCCTCGTGCGAAGTGCTCCATCTGGCCAAGTGGAATGCCGGCTACTCCATACAATATCCTATTACAGGGACAAACCACAGTTGGGAAGTAATCTGCTACTCATGAACATAGTCTAGGTTTTATTTTTCTAAGAATTATTTACTTAATTTTATTTATTATTATTATTATTATTTATTTGCTACAGGGCATATGCACTCCTAAGAGAGAGAGAGAGGGAAAATGAGGAAGCAAGCTGCCAGGTCCTGGACTTGAACCACAGTCAGTTGTGTGGGAGCTTAGCACCTTAACCCCCACGCCACCTCAGGCCCCCATGTCCAGTTTTTGACAGACAATGAATCCTTTCTAGATATTTATGCAGAATCCTCTAGGCTATATGCTCAGGAGGAGTGTTAGGTCCCAGGGTCGTTGTATCGTAACTTTCATCAAATACTGACCAATTTTTCTCTAAAGGGGTGTCCAACCTTTGGTTTCACCAGCGTTGCCCTCTGGTCTAATAAATAATAATGTTTCACTGCCTTTTTTTTTTTTTTTTTTTTTTCCATTTTTTTTTTTTTTTTTCAGTTTTTTGCCATAGGGTGTGTGTACTCACCAGAGGGGAGAGAGACAGAGAGATACAGTGAGAGAGAAAGTGAGAAATCACCCCTAGGGGGGACGACCTTGCTGGAATCCCTTCTCTTCCATTCTCCCTGAGATTTTGGGCATCCACTTACACATGCCCAGTGTGATTTTCAAGCCACCAGGTCTGGGACTCGAACCACGGTTAGCCCTTTGGGAGTCCAGTGCCTTAACCCCGATGCCACCCGCTGGCCCTTCACTGGGGTTTTAATTTGCATTTCTTTGATGACTAATGAAGTTTGTTGGAGATATTTATAAATTCTGGACACTAATATATATGTATATATTTTCTTTTTAAATATTGGCGAGAACTAGATTCTCACTGTAGCTTATTTAACTTTACTCATGGCCTCTAACTTGAGTCGCGGTCAGCCATGTGGAAGTCCCGCACCTTACCCGCCGCTTTGGCCTGGCTCAGCTCCTGGTTTCCAGAGGACATCTGGGTCTTCTTGCCTCTAGGCTTGCTGTTTTGTAGAAGCTGTAGTTCTGGAAAAAGAGCTAGTGACAACTGTGGGCCTTTGGAGAGCTGGACAGTCTACCCCCAGCCTCTGATCTCAGGAGAGTCCCCGTGAAGCCTCCCTCCAGCCGCCTCCTCTAGCGCACACACTTTAAGTACCTATTGCCCATCGGAAGTCACACTCCCACCATCGCCTCATTCCAAACCTGGCCCCAGCAGCCTTGTGGTTGAGCTCTGCCGACCACCTCGGCTTTCTGTTCCACTTCTGGCTCCCAGAGATGCTTGTTTTAGAATGTGCATTTGTCTTTTTGGAGAAAATGCTTATCGATAATAATAATATTAAACACACACAGTCAATAGTGATAGTTTGGTCAAGGGTGGTCCCACGAGATTATAATGAAGGGGCCAGTAGGTGGCATGGTGGTTAAGGTGTTGGACTCCCACAGGGCAGACCATGGTTCAAGTCCCAAACCTGGTGACATGAAAATCACAGCAAACAAACAAATAATTAAATAAAAAGATTACAATGGAGATGAAACTGCCTGCTGCTCGTATGACTATCATATATGCATACAGCGTGACCATGACCTCTGGGGGGTGCTTTCTCCCTCCCCCTGCCTCTGTCTTTCTCTGGGGGCTGCACATGTCCTCTGGCAATGAAAAAAGAAGTGCATTGTGAAATATTGGGTTCTTGAAAAAGCCATGATGCATCTTTGCATAGAAAAAATGACTTTTACGCTGGTAACTCCAAGTGAAATCCTATTCATGAAACCACAACGAGTACGAGGCATGCTGTTTCTTCCATCAGTGGTTCTCAAGCCTTAGTGCATCCCGATTTCTTTGTAGGCTTAAGACTGACCTGCAGCTTCAAGTTTCTGATTCCGCAGTCTGAGGTGCGGTGAAGTGACTTTCTAAGCTCACAGGTACCTACTGGGATCCACGGCTTTCCATGTACGCTCGCTACCGAGGAAGACTAGGGCGAGCCGGCAGTTCACTGTGACGAGTCGGTCAGGCCGGCTTCTGTGTGTCGGAAAATGACTTCGCTGGCCTTTCTCTGGTCCTGGTTAGCTCTGTGACTCTGGGGTGCTTCAGAGTCCTCTGTCCTCTGTGTCCCTCTCCGAGGTAGGACAGATGAAGGTGAAAATGTCTTTGAGCCTTTTAGGCAAGAACTGACCCCCTTCTTCAGTTCAGGCTCATTGAATTCTCAACTAGGAAAGTGCAGAGACGTACTTTTCTCAGAGCTGTTTCCCATTGAGTGTCTTTTCCGCTTTTTTGATGGAGTAGTCAGGGAAGAGGGGGCAGCTTCTGAATTTTCTTTGTAAGACAATTCAATTTCCATTCCTCTTTTTTTGTAGCCAGAATTTCATCTTCCTCTTTTGGCTTCTCACTCCTGGGCCCTGCCTTCTCTGAAACGTTTCAGTTCCCACTCATGTATTTTTAGACCAACTTCCTATCTTTCAACAGACGGAGACAGGGAACACTTTGCATAGCTCTTTATGGGTCAGGACCCCAGAAGGAGCCCCTGGGAAGAGATACAAGATGGGGCCCCAGATTTCTTCTTCATTCTTCCAAGGCTTCTTGTTTGAGGTGCTGGTCTTTGGTGGAGTTTACTGGAGCTGGCTGGCGTCCTGCTGGGACGTTTTCACTGGAGTCAGGGCGAAGCCATGGCAGTCAGCAGTGCTCGGTGGATTAAGACTGTTTGCCTCTCCTAGGATCTTGCTTCATTTCTCATTCTTTCTTTTGCCACTTCCTTTTTTAAGTCCCCCCCCCCCATTGGCAGAGGGCAGGTGCTCTCAACAGAGAGAGACAGAGACAAAAAGAGCAAGGACCCCTCAATGGGGCATGGTCACACCACAATGCCTTCTCCACTTCTCCACCCTATCAGGACTTCTGGCATGCACACACAGACCTGGTATGCTTTCTTAAGCTGCTTTCATGCGGGACCCAGGCCATGGTCGGCCATGAGATCTGGCTCCCTGTGCACATGGCGTAAAGAGCACTGCAAAACAGGGCTGCCCTTCCCTTGCCACTTTTTTTTAAACAGTTTTTTTCCTATAAGGTGCATGTACTTCCCGGAGAGAGATAGAGGGAGACCCAGAGAGAGGGGAAGTGAGAAATCATCTCCCCAGAGTGGATGACCATGCCACAATCTCTTCTCCCCCATTCTCTTCTCAGGAATTTGGGCGTGCACGTGCATGCACCAGGTGTGTTTTTCAAGCTGCTGGGGTCTGGGATCCAGCTGCTTTAACCACCATGCCACCCGTTGTTCCTCTCTTGCCGCTTTTAACACCTACGGGAAACCAGAAGTGCATGCTGCACACTCACACACTGTGTGCCTGCCAGGTCCTCCTCACCCCTTCTCGTTCCTTCCTGCTCTGTCATCCATGTCACCAAATAGGTTAGTTACACCGTCTCTTACCCTAGTACATTCTGAACACTTTAATCTCAAAAATATTAAAGTGTTTCTAAGACCACAACAGACCGAAAGCATTTCCTCTAAGACAGGACTTTCATCGCAACTATTCAGCCTAGAGCTGGAAGTCCTAATCAGTGAGATTCGGCAGGAAAAAGCAATAAAAGGCATTGAAACTGGAGGGGAAGAAGTAAGATCATCTCCGTTTGTAGCTGACATGATCTTTTATGTAAAAAAAAAAAAAATCTAAAGCTTCCACACACTAAAACCCTAAATGAATTTGACAGTTACAAGACACCAAATGAGTGGCATGTCTATCCCTTAAAATAAATAATACCCAAAGGAAATTAAGAAAATAATTTCATTTATAACAGCATCAAAAAAACAAAAACAAAAAACAAACAACAACATAGGAATAAACTTAACTAAGGAGGTAGAAGATTATTATAAACCAAAACTCACAAAAGTTTCTGAAAGAAATGAAGACACAATTTCAAATGCAAAGATTCCATGTTTGTAGATTGGAAGACTTAATATTTTTTAAAAAAGAGTTATTTTATTTAACTCATTTATTATTATTATTATTATTATTTTCAGTTTGATCAGAGAGAGACAGAGAAAGAGGGAGAGCAAGTGTGAAAGCCAGCCACCAGGTCCGGGACTTGAACTGCAGTCAGCCATGTGGGAGTCCAGCACCCTTAACCACCATGCCACCTGTGGCCTCAACTTAATATTGCTAAGGTGTCAATACTGCCCAAAGTGAGCTACAGATTCAACACAATTTATATCAAAGTCCCAACAATGGTTTTTGCAGAAATGAAAAAATTCATCTTAAAATTGATATGGAGTCTCAAGGGACCTGGAGATTCAAACCAAAATCAAAACAGTAGCTGGCAGAAAGGCAGCATGTAGATCAACGGGCTACAATGGGAAGCCTAGGAACAGACCTTACATATGTGGTCAAACTATTTTTGACAAGGGTGCCAAGGTCATTCAACAGGGGAAGGATAGTCTTTTCAACAAATGGTATTGGGAAAATTAGATATCCACATATTAGAAAAAGAGGCTGGGGTCAAAAAGTGACACGAGGTTAAGGCACTGGATCTCACATAACTGACTTTGTGGTTCAAGTCCTGGACCCATCAGCTTGCAAAATAATGCCCGATGCAAGTGTGTCCATGCCCAAAATCCTGAGAGGTGACCGGAGGAGAAGGGACTGTGGCGTGGCACCCGCCCGGGGAGGAAGTTTCTCACTTTCTTTCTCTCTGTTGAGTTATGTGCCCTATAACAACAACAACAATTAGGTTGGACCCACATCTTACTATGCTATATACAAAAATGAACTAAAAACAGTCAAAGGCCTAAACATAACTCTTAACCTCTCAGAGCTATAACTATAGACCCCTTAGAAGAAGGCATATGGGAAACGTCACAGTCTTGGATTTGGCAATGATTTGTTGGATACAACACCAAAAGCACAGGCAACCAAAGAAAAAACATAGATACATTAGGCTTCATCCAAATTAAAAACTTTTTTTTGCATCAAAGGATGCTATCAATAAAGTGTAAAGGCAACCTACTGTATCAAATCAATCCAATCCAATCCAATCGAATTGTATATAGGCACGCATCACTTGGTGGGGATGCGTGCTGGCAATTCGGCGGTGCGAACGTTAGGGAGTATACCTGTACAACCTGGATTGCACACCAGGCCCAGCTCCACTCACAGGGCCATTGGTGGCAGAGAGTCATTACGCCGCACTTGACTCTGTGAGGAGTGAATATCCAAAACGGTTCTCACATATATTTAAAAAGATTTTTTTTTTTTTTGGAGAGATTTTCACTGTAGGGCGCGTGCGCTCACCAGACAGACAGAGAGAGACATAGAGACAGAAAGTGAGAAAT